CCAGGAGGCTCTAACCCCTGTGTGGTGTTCATATTGTTGTTACTCAGCCAGTGTTTGTGGGTCTGATATCCCGTTGCATTTTGTGGCTTTTAATGCCTCAAAATCACTTTTATATTAAAACATTTTTATATTAAAATACTGAACAGATGCTTATTTTATCTTAACTTCTCTCTCTCTCATCCAAAATCAATTCCAGGGCCTTTTGGCCCTCTTGATCTAAGAAACCACACTGGCTAAGCCCAATTTTTAGCAGATAGACAGAAAATTAGAGCAGACAAACAATGTGTGGGAACCGTTTCTTTTGTGTTTGTGTACCTGCAGTTCCCACACAAGGTTGTGTGTGTGTGTGTGTGTGTGTGTGTGTGTGGTTCACAGAACATCAATTACACACGTCCAGTGGACCTGGACATCTTATATGTAATAGAAATGTGTACGGTGTGTGGGCATTAAATAGGAATTCTGATATATGACAGAAAATGAGCCAAAGCCACTGAGTCTCAGTTTGAAAAATTAATTCACCGTATCATTTTTCTTTTAGTAAAAAAATGAAAACGGGTCCCACAGACCTGAACGCCACACAAAGGGTTAAAGCAGATTTAGGCTGTTAAAGGTGGTTGTTCCTCTAATAATAATAATGATTTGTCCTCAGGCCGAACCTCTATGACTACAGGATGGAGTGGGAGCTTCAGAAAAGGCAGTACGTTTACTCCGTGACCAGTCACATGACCGAAAACCAAGGTGGGTGACAGGTGTTAGTTAAAGGAGAAACTCCAGGTGTTTAGGGGTCGTTTAGCTTCTTTTAACCAGCAAAGAATTGAACCAGAAGATGTTTTTAGGTTCCTAATTATGAGGATCAGCTGATATTTTGGTCATTCAGGTGAATTTGGGTTATTCTGGTTACCTTTAGATTTGCTTTAAAGCCTTAAATGGATCATTTTAGCCATTTTCAGGAATTGCTCAATAGTAAAGTCGTTTCCACTTCATTAGTCACAGAACCAGGTCTTTTTCTTTTTTTTTTGCTTCGGGGGGGATTTGGTTCTTCATCAAGTCTGAGCTGTTTGTCCTTTAATAATCGTCCTCTTTCAAATTGTTGGCGATTTTATAGCAGTCAAAAAGACCAATGTTGGATAGATTTGTGGATATAAAGAATCTCCATTTGAATGATTTGATTATTAAGTTTATTTTAACATCCCGAGGGGGCACGGAGGTGGTTACATAGCCAGAGGGTTCTGGGTCCGGCCTATCAGAGCATGTGTTAAAGTCTAAAATATTTATCTACTTACTTAGTTTTCAGACTCATGTTGAACAGGGATTTACTCTGATAACAACTTAATGGTTAGTACACAGACCTGTGGGTTACAGATGCTAACGCTAATGCTAATGCTCTGTGTAGGGATTTCCCGATCCGGGTTTTTTCTCTTCCGATCCGATCCCGGCCTATCAGAGCATGTGTTAAAGTTTAAAGTTATTTATCAACTTACTTAGTTGTCAGACTCATGTTTACTCTGAAAACAACTTAATGGTTAGTACACAGACCTGTGGGTTACAGATGCTAATGCTAACGCTAATGGGGGATTGGACTTTTAATAAAAACTGGATCTGGAGTCTGGATCTGGCGTTTTCTGGGAATATCGGCGTCCCGATCTGATCCAGATTTCGGATCGGGACCGGCCTGGTGTGCACGTGCACGTGCGCGCCCCCCAGCTATGAGTGTTAGCTCACAGAAGTAACTGACCTTTGACCCCTGGGCGTGCGCAGAGGCCCCGGCGGGCCCGGGGGGGCTGATGGACGAGCTGCTGGA